CTGTGTTCGCCAAAAGAGCTGCTGAGCTGACACATGAGTCTTATTTTTATCTTACTGTCATGGGTTTGTGTCATACAGTGTGCAAAAACAGAAACGCCTAAATGCTTGCCCACAGTTAAAGCTTTCAGATAGTATCTTCACACCATGAGCTTCATGAAGGGGCTCTTGTGTCACCCGGTGCTCTCCACTGGGTTATATTAATCACTAATAAGCCTTTGTAATGTGTCGTGTGTGTGTGTGGTGAAAGCCTATGATTTAGCGTGTAAAATGCATGATTTCCATGACTCATTTGGTCTCATCAGTGTCAAAAAAAGTCTGTTTTCCAATTAGTGTTTAATCATTGACATTTACAACCATTTTTCTTTCCAAAGACAAAGCCAAGGCCTGCAACTAAAGGGTTATTTCAGTATTTGAATGTTCTTGAGCCTTTCAGTTAATTTGTCAATCTAACTATTCTCTTATTTCCATTACTTAAAAAAACAAGAAAATAAACAAATACATAAATTAGCCTGAGAGACTGTTAGAACATCGCTTTAGAATCTGCAGATTCTCCATGTGCAGGTAGGGAGAAGAGAGTGCAGGTGTTTCCTTGAATGTAATAATATACAGCTTTTCATAATATATCCTATTCAGTTCTGCAGTAAAACTTGATAATCACTGATTTCCAAGCAGCAAGAATACTTGCAGAGAGTATCTAGAGAGATCCATATTTGTCTTTAAAATGTAAGCGATGCTTCTGTGAAAAGCCCTTTTAATTTCTGGATTCATACATTGTTGTCTGGGTGTATTTGAAATGGATTTGTTGATTTGCATGTGTTCAGTTTTTTTATTACTTATCGCCCCCCCAAAAATACCACAGATTTAATATAGTGCTTAGAACTACAATTAACAACCAGTTTCATTTTCAGTTAATTTATCCATTATTCGTTTTATTATTCAATTATTCTTTCATAGGGGCCCAAAGTGATGTTTCCAAATTAACAATTTATTCTGACTAACAATCCAAAAATCGAAAGTTGTTTCAAATATGAAATTGTCACATTTGAGGAGATGCTGCAAAGGTTGGTAGTTTTACTGTATAAATAACTAAAACATTACAGCAGTATGTTAATTATCAACATCATCATTGATGAATTTTCTGTCACTTGACTAATAGATGTATAAATTACTGTAACCATTTAATCAACTTAATCATCAACTAATCTTCAGAAGGGTATGCTTTAGGGCATGCCTACCTTGTGATTGACAAGTTGCTACCATGGCAACATGTCAGTCTCAGTAAAGGCTATTCCTCCCCAGCTACAGGTCACTTCTGGTTCCAAAAACCCAAGTTGGCGACAGCTAATATGCCAAACTCAAGGCTTCAAAACGGTAGTCCACAAATGGGTCAATGGGTGACGGGAGGCTATGATTTAATTAAAATGTCGTTTCCCCCATGAAACTCCAACAAAATGTACAACCCCATGCCCCTGAGCCATGTGTGCAATTTCATGTCAGCGTTGTCAAACCCCTGTTCCTTGACACACATAGGACCCTGGATGGCTAATGGTGCGTTGGATTAGCCAGCAATGGCACAAAGTAGTTAGGGAGGTTTAACCCAATGATCCCTGCTTAAACATGAGCTCTAAATCCACACAGCTGACATAAAGCCATTCACTGGGACGTTGCTGCTGTACTTACGTACTGCTTCTTCGAGATTAATGTAGTCCTTCACTCATTAAACACAGTTTTTACACAACACTCCAGCAGGCTAGTGCAAGTGTCAGTGTGTAGATGCACTGCCTTGATGTCCTGTGAATAATGAATATGGTTTGGTTTGGAAAAGTAGACCACCCAGAATCGGTCAACATACCTGAGACAGGGATGGGATAAATATTTTCCTGCAGTGTTTTGCAAACAGGAAGTAACATGTAATCAATAGCTGTGCAGTACTGTAAACCTGTGTGCCCTTCCCTTTCGGACCAGGACAGGACACAGTTTGTATTTATTTGTAGATTCATCACGAAAAAGATGTACACTATGTACCAAGGCACTACCAGAATCATGATTGCAGATATTGTTATGAATGTCTGTAAATAGATCTTAAAATAAGAGCATAAATGTCATGTTTTATATATGCAGTATTTTATTTGTGCAGTTACAGTTACTTCCAGTGTAGTGTTTTTGATACAGCCTCCTTTTGATGTTAGTTTGATAGTTTATGCTAAAATGTTATTGAGGAGCACTCCAGTTTTTTTATTGATTTAATTTCAGTTTTAAGTGTAATTAAAAGCTGCCTGGTGTCACATGACATAAATGAGACCTAAAAGGCTGACTGAAGTAAAGTAAGACTTTCAAATTCTTGGTAATGATATTTTGACACAATTGAAAACGCTAAAAGATTAGCATTATAATAGTTCTATTGAAAAGATAAATATTAAGCACAATATTCATACAGAGACTACTGATACTGCTGATCTATAATCAATTTTATTCTTAAATAATGAAAGGTAGCCCCATTAATTTGAAAACGGAGTCTATGGATAGACCACACATCCATTATGTTCTAAAAGTAGCCTACATCACAGAAGACATACAGTGCCTGAACACATGCCCTTATTTGACCATCACTCACCTAATGTAACTATAAAAGTCTGCCTCCTCTATCAAACTTGAATTCACACTTAGCAGCTGTGGTCAAGTCACAAGCTGAAACTTTATACGGCCGATTAACACTTACAGATCAGTGAACCACATCACAGACGCTGAAATAATGCTAAACTTTTCTTGAAAGTGCGGGAATTCAAGTTCGGGCTTTTCCGACTAGAAATGAGCGTCCATTACATACAAGCCCTCTCCAAACGAGTGCAAACAATGCTGATTAAGCCCATCACAGCCAGGTAAATGTCTATATATTTTTCAGTACACTGGTGTTTTCAAATCTGGTGTCTGTGGCGACATTCCTGCGCTGGTAAACTGGTAGTTATGTGTTTTATGCCAACCAGTAATGACATTTTTAAACATGCCATAAAAACACAGTATGTACAGTGTAGGTTACAGTTTGTCTGTGAATAAAGGCTAAAAGCTAAAGCTCCAGTTCACTCGAGAGACGGGTGTGGCCTAGTGGGTAGAGCCCGTTAATCGAATAGATCTGTGAACCACAATCCCCGGCTCCTCCAGGCTGCATGTCAAAGTGTCCTTGGACAAGATACTGAATCCCGAATTGGTTGTGGTGGCTAGTGTATGAATGTGTGTGAATTTTAGGTTCTGTTTGAGCAATTAGAATAGCAATTAGTATGAACGTGTGAATACGATGTAGGGTAAAAAGCAAAGACTAGAAAGGCGCTATACAAATACAGAGCATTTACAGTCTGTGTGTTTACCAACTGTTGGAAAAGTACTCAGGTTTATCGCATTGCGTCATTGAAGATGATGTCAGGCAGTTTTCATGTGGCAATCACCTGCCTACAATACATCACCTCAATACTGCATCCCCAGTTTAATAGAAAGAAATAGAAGTCATACCGTCGGGATATCTAAATACCCTGGTATACCGTATTAGCTTGATGCCACCCAGGTCAAATCTCTTGATCCATCTTATAAAACTAATGCCCTATAAAAATCTCAGGACTGAAGAAAAGTCTGTTTATTCAGTAAACTTCTAAATTCTACAGCTGTACAAGTTGTTGGGTGTGAAGTAGGGATGGGTATCGCTACTCAATACCTTTATCGTATGGACCGAAACAGCCCGGTATTGAGTTGAATCGAAACGTCTTTAGTCAAACCAGTACTTCAATCAATACTTTTTGTAGCCAGATTGCTGCAAAATTACTATTGGTATGGTTTTGCTTGCAGCCAACCACGCAAGCAACACTACAAAAGAAAGAGAAGAGCACGCCTTTTTTTATGTGCATGCAGCATAAACTGTATTTAAAAAAATAAATAAAAAATAGGCCTGCATAGCTTGACTTTGCATTGGTTTCATCTTCTGGTATCATTTAACACTTCTCTGTACATTTTTATTAGCTGTTCACATCACTTGTCACTGATCGATTGTTATGATCCATCACATCAATTAAACGCTTTTGTGACCAGCAGCGATCAGCTGATTTTACTCACGGAGTCTGCGGCTGTTTCAGGTGTAGTTGGTGTGATCGGCTGGACGTGCAGCCTCTCTTTACTTGGTTTGCTTCTTTAGACTCTTTAGTGTAGTAGTAGGAGGTTTACAACTCACCACTAAAGGAAAAAGCACTCATGGAGATCTTTCAATTCAGTTTATTGATTTAAAGTTAACAAAATAATTTTCCGTTGTTTACTTTCAACACATGTATATCAAAAAAGTTTTTTCCCACAACTTATTTGGTCACTAAACTATTTCACTCCTCCTCCCTCATTCAAATATAAAAACATTTGCAAGCTGTAGTCTTTCCCCTTTATAATACTACCCATGAGACAATAAATTAGGATGAGGAGGATCTGATACAATTTCGCAATACTTTTATGTAACAGTTATTTGAAATAAGAAAAAAATAAAATATATATCCTTGCTTGTCCATAACAACAATAAAAATAATTATAGACTACCAATCAACTACTATGGCTTTAACAGGTGGCTTTTTATGCAAGGTATCGAATTAAATACTCTCTATACTACTGTTGGTATCGGTGTCACTTTAAGGGTACTGGTTTTGGTACTGGTATCGTAGAATTTTAAACGATACCCAACACTAGTATGAGGTGTATAAAAAGTGCCACAGTTCCTATAGTGTTGGCCCAATATGAATATGAACACCCTCAAATTGAAGCTGAAAGTTGGCACTTTCACCTCCGTTGTCTTTTGTTTCTTTAAAATTTTATGTACTGAAGTACAATGGAAAATTTAGCATATAGTCCTACTCCATAGGAAAGGAAACTGGTGGGGGGTGGGACAAAGATTGTATACATTCTTCTAACATGGACACATGGATTATTTTGGTGTTTAACAGGCCACTCTTTTGTCCCCTGTTTTCACTGCTTTCAAGGTGGTTCCACCCAAACATCACTGGAATTGAGGCAGAGCAGCTCTTGTTGACCCGGGGTGTCCACGGCAGTTTCCTGGCTCGGCCCAGCAAGAGCAATCCGGGGGATTTTACCCTCTCTGTCAGGTAAGTTTTCATCTACACTCCCTCAAGTCCTTTCCATATAGTTTTTGTTGTTCACCCTCAGCCTCACTATTTAACCTGTTCTCCCCAGTTCAAAGTTCAGCCCAGAGAACAAACAAAGCTCTGATGCTGTCATTTTGAAAGACTTGATGGGTGATTAGAGAGGCAAGTGGTGTTCTCTCTGGGAAATAATCATTTGTAACATTTACATTTAAGACAATTTCCTTTTCCAATACACAAGGCTAAATGCCTGGATGACAAAATATTACACACAAACAAAACTCAACATTGCAAAGGTCAGATCCTCAAATACCCTTAAAATAATTATGTAACCATGGATTTAGTCTGAGAATGAGGAGCGACTGTACTGATTTGACTAAAATGGTCAGTTTACAAATAAGGAGTGGGCACTCTTCCTGCTTAAGCAGTATCTGTGCATCGCAGAACACCTTGCTTTTCATTTTGGCACCTATGTTAACAGTCAGTTTCACCTATTTCTTTCCGCCAACCAGAGCGATTCTCAGCTAAAATAGATGAATAGAAAATTACAGTATCATATCAACATCCGCAAAACATACACCTTTCACTAAAGACATACACCTCATGTATACAACACGTTTCAGATTAAAAGCCCTCTAGCTTTTGTGGACAGAATGACCCTTCATTTCAATTCCCTTCATTTCAATTCAAATTAGCTTTATTGGCATAAATGTATAACTATACAAACTACATAAGAACAATCAACCCCATACATTTCATTGAAGTAATTAAAGTAGATATGTGTTTTTGTGTGTGTTAGAAAAATTAAAGTGTGTGTGTGTGTGTGTGTGTGTGTGTGTGTGTGTAAAAAAATATTATATTAATATATTAAACATTAAAATAAAAATAAATAAATATACCGGAAATGTGTGTGTATATTAATAGACAAAAAATAAAAAAATAATAATTAATTGATAAAAAAAAATTAATAATAAATAAAAAGAAAACGGTATCAAATGTAAAAACAAAATAATTACTAAAATATAAAAAAATCTAAATAATAATAATTTAAAAATTTGTACAATTATTTATCAGTCTGAGTTTCCACTGGTTGTCCTCACTTCATGGCATGAGGAGACATATTTTGCACAATTGGGCATTTCTCACAGTAAATAGGGGATTTTCTGTGTGTCTGATATGAATTCAAATTTGGGAAATGTTTGCAAAGTGTTTTTTTTTTTTGTCTTAGTGTTTTATATTTAGGCCATGAGGTTAGAAAGTGCAGCTCTGTCACACTGGGATCAGAGTCTCTCTTCTTGTGGTAGTCAGCTCTGCCTGTGGCGACCCTTTTCTGTGGCCAGGCTGTGTTCACTCAGTCTGTATGTTGTCCTAAACTAAGAAAAATGTTGACATTTTATTGTGCTCAGGTAATTTGTTAACAAGGCTTTTGTTGTATGTATTATAGGCAAACTAAATATAGAAAGATAGGCCTGGCAGTAGCAACACTTCAGCAGCAGTGTTGTCTATGTGGACACCACACGCATGCGAGCCACATCACATCGGCGAGGTAGCAGTCGCACACAGGTAGAGGTAGGCAGTGTGGCCCAAGGCTTAGAGTCTCCAAAATTCCCACCCCTGGGTCAGCAAGTGATGTGACAGAAGTTGTTTTGTGTGTGGGTTTCAAGGAACATGTTGCATAACAGATTTGGAATGTGTGATTTGGTAACATTCTGATACAAATTGGCCAGAAAATCCTTATTTGGGCAGCTGGGTGGAGCTGAGGTGAGTGATTGAGTGAGTGACTGTAATACCCCGTGAAACCCGTCATTCATGCCCTAAAACATATTTCTCTTAATCTCTTTAATTGAGAAACCCTGGTGTGTTGCCGAGAATATGAAATTTCTAGTAAGTAGGACTCAGCACTACATGTTGTGGTGATTACAGAGAGCAGGAAACAAACTGAGATAGAAGAGAGAGTTTGAAGAGTGGCTCTTCCTTGGCAACGGAAGCTTTTAAGAGATACAGCAGTCGGCCAAAAGCCTGGAATACAGCCAAAACGTATTTGTTACTCTGTAGCTGTAGCTTGCATGGCTTGCATAGGTAGGGAAGGCTGTGTGCGTGTGTGTTTGTGTGTGCGTGTGAAAGAAATAGATGGGAAGAAAAGGAAACATTGTAGTTAGACAGGCAGTAGCTTTTAAATAATGTTACAGAGTGAGGGGCCTGTTAAGGTTTCAACCTTCACTACCTGTGGTCTGTGTGAATGTGTGCGTGTGTGGAGTAGGGAGTGGTAAACTCACCCCACCACATGAGGGTTGGTGGGGTGAGTTGTAGCAACAGTTTCTGTGTGTGTGTATGTGTGATTACATCTGTCAAGACCACAGAGGTCAACTGGCCAGTGTGCAAAACCTAACCACCTGCGAGCAAAGCTAGGTCACATTGAACATTGAAGAGGAAGGAGGAGGGAAGCACAGTTCATATTAAAGAGGTACTATGTATGTACTGAAAGAACAAATAACACAGTATTCATCCAAAGTTGAATTTATAAGCAAAAAAATGTGCTATTGCTCAATTTAGGGGTATGACCAGTAGCTCATGGTGGCTATTGTTAGCTAAAGTTAGCAAACTTTAGATAGATATTGTTGTTTAAATTACATTATAAAACGGGTAGCTCAAATCAAGCAATCTGATTGGTTCATAGTAGTGGTATAATGAGCGGATACAACGGCTGTATCACAAACAGGGTTCACGTTATAATCTGGTCTCATGCCCCATTTACACCTGGTAATAAAATGAGATAAATGCCATCAAAGACTATTGCTCAAGGAGAGACCGCAACAGCAAGTTACTGATGCTGGACAGTTTTATTGTTAGTGGCTGCACAAATAAACGGCAACGTGTAAATAAATATAAATAAATAGTTGTAATAATTCTAGCCTTTGATGTATGTTGCAGTCTTTCCCACAGATTGACAGCATAACTGTGGCGGGGGACTGTCGCAGGTGTTATGCCGAATTTTGCATGCCTGCCGAGATTTGTATGAAAATGCATTAAAGTTCTGCTTTTAAATGCTATACTATTCTTTGTGGGGTTCATCAATAGTGATAAATGATCAGTATATATTTTATGAACGTTAATCGTTAATATATTATTACACTTAGTAAAAGTACCATTTCTTGAGATTCAGCATGTGGCGTTAACCGCTTTTAAACAGCAAAGTGTCCTAAAAGGACCTTAAGAAGTGAATTGTATAATTCGGCAAAACAGATATTGTAGGCTACCTACCGAAATTTGCCGCCTCTTTTCTCGAACGCACCTGTTGACTACCAGTTATACAGTGTGCTAACTTCCACAGCTGTTTTCCAAAGTTAACATAGCTCTCCTTATTAGCTAGGCTCCTTACATGCTTGCTAGTAACTGTTTTGAAGATGGGTCTCCGACACTGACAGCGTTGTGTTGGACAGATTTGTGCAGCGGTGTTTATGATACCAACCATTCAATTCACAGACGGGTCTGTTGTTCGTGTTTGCGAGAGAGAGAGAGAGCGATATGCAGAGCGAATATGCGCTGCGCAGCGCTGCAATTGTGGTGTCCGAACAATAATGCTGCGATGATGTGTTGAGAAGAAATCCGCTTGACACTGTTCTTGATCATAAAAGTTTATCTAAAAGTTCAGCATCAATTACAAGCTCTGCAGCAGCTTGGAGAGTGACCCAGCCCGATGACCACTCTGTCTCTCTGTACATCAAACACAGCTTATATAGGACATGTTTAGGTATCTGTTAGATACCATAGAAGGGTCTGAGTCTGCAAACTAAGGCACCAATCCATATAAGGGCACAGTTCTATAGGATATGTGTAGGCATCTGTTAGACACCATATAAGGGTCTGAGTCTCCACATAACCACTAACCTCTGCTCTCCCCTTAAAAGGTCACTAATCCTCTATCCAGCTGCTACAGTGTTATTTTAAACTGTTATGCGTCAAATGCACACATATTATACACCACACAATCAAGAACGATTTTAAAATAGGTCGCCAAATTTACTTGGGCGGCTGTTAATCTACCTGGACGGCCCGCCCAATTAAAGTCTAAGGCCCCGTGTCCACCAAAGCGTTTTTTGCCAGCTGAAAACGCCACCTGCTGTTCTGAAAACGCCTAGCTGGGAGCGCTAGAGTGCGTTTTGGAGGTGCAGTGGTTTTTTTTTCGAAACGCTGTGGTTGCTATGATACATAATTTCCGTGGAGTCAATGTGTTGCAAGTAGGGTAGCCTACTTAATTTTAGTGAATGTAAAAATGTCACCACAAAGTACGTAGGCCTACTTGCTTTGGCCCTTGCTCTGCATGAAGAGAAGGCTGAAACATGAGAGCACAGACTGTCCGTGCTCTCATGAAACCAACATTTGACAGTTCCAGTACACCTCCATCAGTACAAAACATTACAGATTCTATAATCTTTTGAATAATGTACACAGAAGGCATTTCTTTTTGTTGTGCTGCACCAAATAAAGTCTGTAAAATGTAGAGAATATTGGAAAATACTAAAGATAATTACTTAATTATCCTATATCTACAAAAGCAATTCTTAGCTAGCATATCATGATACCTAACTCAATTTCTGTTTCTCTCCAAACACACACCCATAGAGTGTCTTAGAGCTGAGCAGAAGAAAGACTAATTAGCCAGTCATTAGCCAGGTTTCATCTTACCAAGGCCATTATGTGCAGGATAGTCACTGTGAAGATTATAATGGATCCTGGGAGAGTCTGTTGTCTCTCGGTCTCTCTTTCTAATCTTCCTCTCTCTGCCTCTCCACTTCTTATCTTCAACCCCTCTCCTCTTCTCTGGTCCACGAGGTGAACAGAAGTGGTTGGACAGAGCTGCTGCTGAAAAGCGTCTGAAGGCTGAGACGCTAATGAGAGCTTTTTGAGGGTTTTGAAAATTTAATCAATTCAGAGTTTCCCTCCCTCTTTGAGTTTCATGAAACTCAAAGAGGGAGGGGAGAAAGAGAAAGTTTGAAGCGGAAAAAGTTTGGTTATAATTCATATTCAACTCTGCAAGGAGAGCAATCTGGTCAAGTTTTCTAATTTTGCATGCTCTTTATACACTCTAAGGAATTTTAAGGGCAATCTTAAGAGAGAATTTTGCAGGGCAAATTAATACAGAGAGCAAATGGATTTTCTCCTAGCCTGTATGTTATACAGTATAATGCTTGCCTGGGTTTGCTTATATATGATTCCATTGCAGGCAGGCTATTTAAAGGTTTACACAGTCAAGTAAAAAAAAAATCATTTATGTGGATGTCAAATACATCAATGAATGTTAACTGTATTTAAGTCTACATTTCCACCACATTTAAAATGTTTTTTTTAATTCCTGCATTGAATGTTAATGTTGCATTCTGACATCTAACCTCCCACATCATAACATGGCCCAGTTTAACACACTCAGCTAATAGTGGCATTAGGTGTGCTTATATCTGCAGGACAGCAAGAACAAAGACACAACAGCCATGGTTAAATACTACTACTTTTTTTCTGTTGGGAAGAGTCAGTTAAAATACTGAAGTTCTATAGTTCTAAGAAATATTTATTGTTTAGACGGACACTTCACCAGTGGCACAAAAAGTAGCTTTTGTTCATTTGTTTAGCCCCGTAATATTGTTGAAGTAATTCTTATCCATATATATATTCTTATCCATTCAAGTTTTAAGCCATTTTCTATGTGCTAGTATATGAATTTGCAGACACCTCTTCAAATTGCCCAACCTTCAGAAGTGAGTCTACTACAGCTGAGGAAATAGAGGGTGTATGTAATTCAAACAGATGTCTGCTTTTTTAAAGATACTGCATTTGATGTATTCCTGTTTTTTCCACAACCAGGGCAAGCTCTTGAGACACACAAATCACTGACCTGACATAACTGAAATATCTGAATCATATCATATCTGAAATTTTACATCAGATTTGAACATGCCTCCCTTAGGTTTTATGATAAAAACCTAGTCTGTAGAGATGCAAAAGGGGAATTGAAACAGAGGCCCAAACTTGACACCCTAAATTTGATAAGTGGGCCGGATATGGCAAAAGGAATTTCTCAGAAGTGTCAGGCTGTATTGAGTAAAAAATCTTATTTGGAATAGCTTTGGGGCAAAGTAAGCAATAATTTATATATTCTGGGCTTTCTACATGTACTGTGTGTGCATTTTTGAGCAATGTATCTCCTAGTCGTCCATGTTTGTGTACTTTTTCTTATCAGTGTATTAGCTTGTTTAGTCACAATGATCTAAATACCGTTTATTACTCAAATGTAGTCAGTCGTATTTACAGCTTGATTTGTGTACTTAAAGAAAGTAAACTCTGTATTTTTTGTATTTATTTAGACAAGAAATATTTAATGTGATTATCAGATGGAACAAAACAGTATTGCTGAGATTAGTCTTGTTGTTATTAGTAAATCCAACTAATTGTCACTGGAAGTTCAGAATGGTAAAGCAGTGTTATTCCAGACATGCTATTTTCAGGCGGCTAAACACTCTGCAGCTGAAATGATCATATGGTATGTTGGTGACAACATACACACTGATTTGAAAATACAGAACTTAGGGAAAACCTTGTACTTCTCATAGAATTATTGTATTACTAAAAATGTTGAAAATATTAAAATGAGAAGAAGTGATAGGCAGTGTCCGTGTAGTGTAGTCATTTTTGCATTTCCTTTTCACTGAAAAAAATACAGAAATGACAATGTGAATTTTGCTGGGACCTGTACCAAACAAGCATGTTCCCTAATGTCTGGATGTGATTTGTAGGTTGGGGCATCTCTATAGCACCACAGTGGTTCATTTATAATGGGTTGTTGTGACATATCAACTCCTGCAGTTTGAATATTGCACTTAGCCGGATTGCAACCGAACATATTTCACTTAATTGTTCAGCCATAAAATCTCATCAGAATTATGCATATAGGCATTCTTGTAAGTATTTCAGCGATTACTGCTTTATAAACCCATGAAATGGATCATTTATTCACTTTTATGGTTAAATGGAAGCTGGAACAGCCATTAGCAATTTTATCAAGGTAAAAAAAATATTGATGTGTTTTGTACATCTTGTGTTTAGAGATTGCTTTTCTCTTCCAGTTTATTGAGCTGGAAATTATAGACTACTATGCAAACATGCACCATGTGTCTGGATGGGTTTCTTGTTATTGAAAGAGAGAGAGAGTTCTTCATTTTGGACAGCATGAAACCAATACTGAGACAAAAGAATTATCCATAATGCTAATTGTGGATAGTAATGTTTTCCTGTTGATAATTTATCACATAATGTATATAAACGGTGCTGTACTTACGTAAGTTAACCCAAGTTCACCAATCATGTCTGTGGTATTCGATCAATTTGATCTTATCTAATTTTACATAAATACATTGAAAGAAAATAAAAATCATGTCAAATAATATGTTGTGTATTTAAATAGACTGTAATGAGCCATAGCTGAGCAGACATGACGGTGACCTTGGCTTCCTGTATTCTTTCTGTAAAGAAGACTGCCAAATTTTAATAAATCTATGAATGTAATATGGAGCAGGGAACCAGTCAATGAAAATCTAATAGGATGTATTTGGCTCATTCCAGAATTAATGGTGTTAAACTCTGAGCGAAAAGGGAGCTTTGGCCCAAGAGCTGAGGAGGGGCCTTTAACAGGGCCATAGACCTGTGGCACCTTGCCAACAGCCACTAATAGAGCCATAAAGCAATTACCAGGAAATGCTGGAACAGAGGAATGGAGGGAGAGACAGAGAGATGAATTATGGGACAGATGAATGAAGGAAAGGATTGCCTGTATGTTGAGTGGAGTGATGGAAAGAAGGAAAAAGGGAATGCTAAATTCATAAGGACAACAAGAAAAGTGATGGAGGAAATAGGATTTGTGCCATTTGATATGACCATTAGCTGATAATCAGTTTGCAGAGAGAGAGAGAGAGAGAGAGAGAGAGAGAGAGAGACTATTGTATCTCAATCTGCAGATCAGATAGTACTGACTGCCTATCTAACCCCCTTGTGTTCACTAAAACTATGTTGTATGTGTGTGTCGTCATATTTGATATGTTTACAGGATGTTAACTCAGGTTGTTTATTTCTGCTAAAGAAAGATGTTGGACAAAATACATTTTGCCAACAAGCTGTTGAGCTGCATCTGTTTCTTCACTTGCTTCCAGGCAGATATCTGTATTGTGTGTGTGTGTGTGTGTGTGTGTGTGTGTGTGAGAGAGAGAGAGAGAGAGAGAGTTTTCAGATTTGTGTGCACCTATTTAGACCAGAGAGAGGACTTTGAATATGCAAAATGGTACCAAATGTTTTCTGTCTTATCAGTATTTGAGCTTGGCAGCTGCATGAATTTCTGTTGTTCTGCAGACATGATACAGCCTTCCTCCAAATACATTAGATATGAAAACTACAAAAGGATGATCCCTTGTGAGAAGATTTGTGTTTTTGTTCATGGAAGTGAGAAATATTCTGTATGTGTGATAAAATGGATCAGTATTTTTAAATCACTGTGGTTTTGTTGGGTTTAATTTCTTAAAATGGGAGGCGATAGCCTGATAAGCTGGACACTGTTATAGTGTATAAGCATTTTATGCTGTGTGGGCGAAGTGTGTATGGTTGTGATTTTGTTTTGTGTGAGCATATACATGAACATGTGTGTGGGCGGCTGTTTGTGCGATCACTGTTTAAATATCTGCGGGGTGCAAGTGAACAAGATAAAAATCTGAAGAGAAAAATGCACAGTGCTTCTTTGGAGTTAGTCCACCTCTGTTTACACACATGATAACTAACTAAATGATTGAACTGCCTCTGTTGGTTTTCCCGCTCAGGCGAAAAGATGAGGTGACCCACATTAAGATCCAGAACTCGGGCGACTACTATGACCTGTACGGAGGTGAGAAGTTTGCCACGCTCGCTGAGCTGGTGCAGTATTACACCGAACAGCAAGATCTCCTGCGCGAGAGGAACGGCCATGTCATCGAGCTCAAGTACCCACTCAACTGCAAGGACCCCACCTCTGAGAGGTGCAGACAAACTCGCACACAAACACCCACACATGCAAATAAGCTCAGATTTGCATGCAGCTAAGGACTATGTGGATAAATCTAAGCAGATAGACACAAATATACACATAACACAACACATAATATCAAAGGTCAGCTCGATATGTTGATCTAAACTCATTAAAACTGCATGAATGTTTCTCCCTGACCACAGACAGTTATTTTTATTTCAGAGGGTAAAGCCTCATCCTGCCATGAGAAGCAGCTAAACCACCTGAGAAGTGTTATTAGTCTAGCTTTCAGTGCCGTTACAGTATCCTGTTATGGCCTAAATACTGTTTGTGAGGCATTTTTCAAACTGCAGAGAACACAACTCTGTGCAAAATATTGTATACTTGAAATTTCTTGAATGTGATTTGGGGCATAAAAATTGTTACATTTAATAGTATTAAGTTTTGCGTCGTCATGATGCTTATCCAGCATATTAAATTTAGCCACAGTTTTGAGAAGAATATTTTTCTTATCTTGATGAACTATCCACTGTTATGTGCAATGGAAAAGTGTGTAACACTTGAAAAGCAGAATGTCCTTTTTAGCTCTGTTTTGGTCTCCACCAGCTCCAGAAATGTTAAATGCTCCACTGTGTTCACATGCTAGTTGCTTTGTCTGCAGCTTGGTGATGGATAGGTCATTAATTCTTTAACTATCTACCAATACACAAATGTGTTTACACAAGATGTTTGTAGGGAGGATGCATTCTGTACACACTCACTCCCACACATTAAATTCAGGTGCAATGCATAAATCGTGGTGTATTCCCAAATGTATCTTCAAACAGACTAAGTGGGTGGTGGTGCTGTTTTTGTTTATCCATACCAAGTATCCACATGCTAACATCCTTCCAGAGAGTATACTCAGGTTGGACACAGCTACACAATTCATCACACCTACACACCTTGAAATTACTAAGGCAGTCTTTTAGAATGTTACATGATCAGATTTATATTATCATGTACAAATCATCACTTTTCAGCTGTGTTTGGCTGAGCAGGCTATGTACGTTTTCTTTTTCTTCTCATCTGCACGTTGCCATGTGTTTATCTCAGTTTCTGTTTAGGCCTAAGAACAACTTGTATTGTATGGTTTTGGTTTATGTGGTTTTTCCATTCTACATACGTCTCTTGTCAGAGCCTCCTACATGTTCGTGTTCACCACAGAGGAAAAAAAGAGCACAGACATGCAGGTTTTTCATTTTAACATCAGCAACCGCGTGAGACTGCAGCAATGTAAAAGACACTTTCATTCTTGAGTAGGAGTCACAATGTACAGATAGACATTATGTTAAACCCTAATGCTACAAAATGGGACTTTTTCCCTTGAGGTAGGGAGCATAATGCTTGTCCTCCCCCTCAGTTTGTCAAGTCTTAACTTTTAATGTTACTTGTCTTGAAAATTTGTCTACCTTGATACAGCATCTAGCCTGAGGCTGAGCTTCTCCATCTCCACAGGAGTTGGAAAAAGAGATTGTGTTTTTGAACAGGTTTTGCCTGCTGTTATTTATTTGATGTCTTTTTTTTTTTTTCAGCTGTAGCTCCCTCTGTCGGTCGGTTAGTTTGGTCGGTGTGTGTGTGTGTGTGTGTGTGTGTGTGTGTGTGTGTGTGTTCATGCCACTTGACTAAAAGGGCATGGCAATGCGAGTGGCCTACAGAGCTATTTAGCCAGCTAATATAACATGATACCCACAGCAAATGCTTTTGGCTCTACATGTCCGAAACATCACAAAGTAGCTATTATTGATATTTTAAATAACAACAACAATTCCCCACTGTGACCCATCCATCAGTGTGTCCCTGAGCAAGACACTTAACCCCTCGTTGCTCCAGAGGCGTGCAACCTCTGACATCAGCTAAATGAATAAATGTAAATGTAAACAACAACAAATGACAAAACATGACAATGTAAAAAGGGGTCGCCTGTGAATGTTCTGCTCCCCTTGTATTTACGGAGCTTTAAAACAAATTTACTGTTTTGGTTCACTCTTAACTGCTTTCATAGCTTTGTTTTTGGTTGTAGTAGGCAACTGTTTTCATTGAAAAAGCTCTAAACACTACCTGCTCAGCAGACAGACACAACATCATAACACTGTAATATGATAATAAATTCTAAGTAAATAATTCTGCAATAATGATGATGATCTAGTAATATATAAACTTAGTTTTAAATTAAGGTCAAGATTTATAGTTCCTAACATGCTTAAATTATTTGTTTTTTTATTTTGAGGAATTACCACAAACCATATGATACCATCCTTCAAGATGTTGGTTTGCATGTTCCTGTCAGTTTGTCATTGAATATTGTTTCTGAATTCATGTGTTGGTATATAAGTGTGTTGTCTCTCTCCTCTCCAGGTGGTACCATGGGCACCTCTCTGGGCGAGATGCAGAGAAACTGCTCACAGACAAAGGCAAAGCCGGTAGCTTCCTGGTACGGGAGAGCCAGAGTAAACCGGGCGATTTTGTCCTCTCAGTTCTCACCAATGAGGAGAAACATGAGAACGTGGACCGCAAGACCAAGGTCACCCACGTTATGATACGCTACCAGGTGAGCTAACTTAGTGCAGGCAACTTGAAATATACAGAAATTGATATGGAGGATTTTGAGTATTGTTTAGGTGGATGAAGTCAGCCTGGAGGCCTATTATACCTAGACTGAGTTCACCACTCATCATCTACCTCAGCATACTGTTGGTGCTTTGAGTCATGTATCTTTAAGCAAGTCATGATTAATTTTTATACTCTAGGAACTCCTCATACGAGCTGTTGCTATAGTTAAACTGTTGATGTTTGTCTCCAGCAGGATGGTAAATACGACGTAGGCGGTGGTGAGAGGTTCGACACCCTGGCTGACCTGGTGGATCACTACAAGAAGAACCCTATGGTGGAGAAAAGTGGCATCGTAGTTCACCTTAAACAGGTATGGAATAGAAATTTAACATGGAACACAAACAAAAACATCTGATCAGGTGAATCTTGGGCATACAGTGCCGTCAAAGCAAGGATAGTGTTGCAATATACTTGTTAATTCAAATCACATGAAAAGGTTATTTTTGTACTACGATCAATGTAAAACATTGCAATAAAATAAGAGAAAAAAATCAAAATAGGTGTCACACTGTAATTTACCACAATCAATAGTAAAAACATTTACGGTGAAGATAAAAATTAGCATCACACAGTGGTTTAAAACAGTCAGTACAGGTCAATATGTTAATAAAAAAATAAAATAAGAATCAAACAGTAAAAGCATTTTTGTGAAATTGTATCTTAAGAAGTTAGATAAAACCGGGAGCAGAATGTGCAAGCCTGATCTCCTGTGGTAGTTACAGATTGTAGGGGTCCTGACAGAAAAAACGCTGTCTCCTTTGGTTTTTAGTCTAGACCTTGGAATGGCTAGCAACGCGTGTATAATCACGTGACTCCGCCCCGTCCAGTCCTGCTCATCTTCCAGACTTGAGATGTTAGCTAGCGCTAACCGCCCACACTTTCTAGCAGTTGGGGAAACAGCAGACAGACTCTTTTAACAGACATACTGTAACCTACATTGTACATATACTGCCAGACTGATAACTTACTCGCTCGCTTTCACCGAGCCTTTCTATCGCTCGCTCTCTCGCATTTGCTCGCCCACACTCTACACACACACACACACACACACACACACACACACACACTGGCTTTAAAGACCTTACTTCCGGCTCTTATAACAGCACCTTTCAGCACTTGCTAGATGTTCTTTGAAGAATGAGGAGAGGAAGCTAGCCAAGCGTTGAGTGTTCTTGTGCTCATACAGTGTGCGGGTAAAAATCACTAACGTTAGTTGCATTGATATTTCAGTTTTTCTCAATTGCTTAAACACTATAACTAGGCTTTTGAACTAAAATTTTCAAACCATAACCCAATTTTTTCAAAAAGCACACTCCTTTCCCTAAACTCTACACACAAAACAAAAACATCATTCATTAATCGTAATCGAGGTAAAATGTACAATTAACTGTGATTTTGATTTTGGGTCATAAGGTCCAGCCCTACTCAGAGATATAGGAAGGGGCCAGGCCAAGCCTGGTCTTAAAAGTAATTAAAATAATTTTAAAATCAATCCTAAAAGAAACAGCAGCTAGCAAGAATGCTAAAACTGGTGTGATATGGCGACAGACAGGTATATAGGAAGTTACGATCGTGAAGGTGGGAGGCGATAAAAGCATAGAGTTTCTCCTGATCTGTGGCTGAATTAAATTACTTAACTTTGTCTGTATTTCTCAAATGATAAATATATAACTGAACAATTTTATTTACATGGTGTTTAAAACACAAGTCCTTGTCAATAACTACCCTAAGATTTCTGTCCGAGGGCATAATTTGCTAGTTCATCTAGGTTTGCCATTATTTTGAATTCTGTTTGTGGGGTGACCAAGTACAATGGCATCAGATTTTGGTTAGTTTAATTGTAGAATGCTGTGTGCCGTCCAGTATTTAATTTGAGCAAGGCTCTTGTCAAGGGTTGCAGTATAGAAGTGTGTGTCATCGGTCTAACGGTGGAAGTGGACTTTATATTTGCGGATGATATTACTGAGAGGGAGCATATAGATGGAGAATAGAATGGGACCCAGAATTGTACCCTGGGGGACACCATATAGAAAGTATGTGGGGGATGAAACTGAGCTGGTCACAGAGAAACATCTGTTAGATAAGTAGGACCTAAACCAGTTTAAGACCACATCTGTGATTTCTGCTCACCTTTCCGGTCTGTCGATTAGCATATTGTGATTGACCGTGTCGAAAGCAGCACTAGAATGCACTCACCGGCATCTTCAGTCAAGAGAGGGTCATTACAGACTCTGAAAAGAGCAGTGTTAGTACTAAGAGATCAAAAGCCAGACTAGAATATTTCGAAATTATTGTCTGACAAACCTGCCACTAATTGTTTGAACACAGCTTTTTCTATGACCTTACAATATTCAAGGTGAAAGACCCAACAGTATGCATAGTCTACTTCAGTAGTCTGGTAGGGACCACATCCAAGGGGCAAACAGATGACATTGTGTGGTTAACCATATCATTGAGAGTGGAAAGAAATATTGAAGGATACTGAAAGAAACTGAAGGATAAAAAGGCTCTGGTACAGATAGACTGTGGGGCCAGCTGCTTTTTTTTTTTTTCAGTAAAGATATTTTGAACTGCTTGCAGAGGTGGGGCAAGTTAATGTTAGATGGAGTACCAACAACCCGGTAAAGTGTTTTAAACAACACTTTTGAGGTTTTGGGCATTCTGAGAAATCAACATGTAAACGTACATTGCTCATGCATCATTGACTGCAGCATTGTATTTCCTCACTAAGTCATGTACTCATAGTAAATGCAGGCCTTCCATTTGCGCTCTGTTTTGCATACCTCTCTCTTTAGGAAGCAGGTGTTGTTGTTAAACCACGGGGGGTTTACATCAACTTGCTTTGTTCTGTTGACTAATTTAATTTCCCTCTCCCAACAACAGCCCTTTAACGCCACGAGGATAAATGCAGCCAACATTGAGAACCGGGTACGAGAGCTCAACAAAGTAGCTGACAACTCTGAGAAACCCAAACAAGGATTCTGGGAAGAATTTGAGGTATGTAGCCTCAAAACTATCAGCGCCAGAATGACTCCTTTTGATTTCCAGTCACTTGAAAGGCACTGTGTTCAGCAGTTTTATTAAATGAGGCTTCAGTTAAAAGCTGGATGACCTGAGAAATAATTGGGGAAACTGAGTCATGTAAATTGCTCTTTTGAGGTTTCAATAGCTCTTGCACAATGCACCCCACACACATTTCTGTTTAATGTTAAGTATTTCATTCTAAGTTTGATGGCTTTCTTGCTTTTACCTAGTAACATAGAGTATACAATATTTTTCATAGCAGACTTTTTATTTGTTTCATTTCTAATTGTACATTTATACCCGTTTTTGTCATTTCCCTTATTTATTTATTTAATTCTTTTTACAGTTGTTTGTTTCTCTACAAGATAGTCAAGATGATTGTGATCAATATGTGGTTGTCGAATTGCCTGCTCCTAGACTATAATCGTTATTGGGATAATCAATAATAATTTTATATAATTAATAATTAATTTAAATCACTTTCTGAATCTTCTGTGTTGAAGTGTGTGTGTGTGTGTGGGGGGGGGTAATAAACATATGAACTACACAATCCAAGTTATTTTGAAATCAATTCAGGAAAACAGTGCCAACATATGAGTTAGTCTATCAAGAATTAGTAGTCGCACTACAGGGAATATTCTGTTGTTTGGAACTTCATGGTACTCTTTTTGTGCATCTCATGTTATTGTCATTATTCTTTTTCTTTTGTCATCACCTTCCAGGTACTTCAGCAGCAGGAGTGCAAGCTGCTATATCCCCGGAAAGAAGGCCAGAAGCCAGAAAACAAGAGTAAAAACAGATACAAGAATATCCTCCCCTGTGAGTCACACAGCAACCTGCCATTTCCTGTCTCCAACGTCCTGTGGAAAGAATGACACAAATAGACAATTTAGAGGCCTCAACAGAGTGTGAACATTTTTGCTTTGATAGCACTCACCTTATCAATTGACATTAGATTACAAAAAAACCCATCAAGCATGATCTCAGGAAAATATAGACTAGACTTAGACGTAGATTTTGTTGTGTATTAATGATAGTTTGACTATTGTGTTTTCAGTTGACACAACTCGGGTTGAAATCAGGGAAGCAGATCCAGATGTTCCTGGTTCAGACTACATCAATGCCAACTACATCAGAGTGAGTATGTTCAGCCCAGTATACAAGGACATTTGTCAGCTGTAAATTATCAAAAAATACTGCAGTAATACACAAACACTCAAGGTAATTTACCTTAACTAATGAATTAGTTCTAAAGTTGTACATATATCACACAGTATGGCTACCTCAAATTTATTGGTAAACTCAGATGATTTTGTTTTAAAACAAACTAGTATTTCTTTATTTAATGCTACATTTAATTGGTAAATATTATCTTCAAGAAGTGAAACTATTTCTGTATATTTTAACTTTATCATCAGGTAGTACACATTGTTAAGGGCTGGGGTTAGTGAATGAATGAACGAATGAATCTATCTTCACAGTATATTACTGTCCATGCTGTACAGAGTATGCATGAAGAAGGACGCCATGTGGAGGAGGGCAAAGTCTTCATCGCCACCCAAGGGTGCCTACAGAATACAGTCATTGACTTCTGGAAGATGGTGTATCAGGAGAATACACACGTTATCGTCATGACCACAAAGGAAGTAGAGCGAGGACGGGTGAGCAGTTGGCACTAAACATACTTTATATATACTGTGGTTGAGCTGAGGGCCTGTGAAATATTATGATTGCTTCTGTATATTAAAGTTGAACTAGAAAGGTAAATTTCTATTTTCTATAGCAAGTAGCTTGTTTTTCTCTTCCCAGCTCTTTTTCACTTGTTTTCTCTAGCATTTACTCTTATATGGTCTCTTTATTGTCTCAAGATTGCACTCCTTTGAGTTTATTGGTGATGATTGCTTGTAATGATGGAGATCTATGAACTAAGGGATTATTCTGTGATGGGAGATTTTGTGAAAATGGCATGAGTGAAATACCACATCTAAAACACTAAATCCACTACACTAGTCAAGTATAATTCTTCTTCAGATTGGTCACAAATGCCTTTACGAGCAACAGAAGATAACAGGACAAACAAGAACAGGTTTACACTTTAGCGTTTCATGATGAGCTAAATGCTATTTCAGGCTCTTTTCCTTGTTTAATTGATTTTGATCAAGTATCAAGTCCCTTTGTTGACCTTTACAAATCCGCATTGCTCTAACTACATTTCATCCTTGTTTTTCCTGCATTTTAAGTTGAAAGATAGAGAGAAGGGAGGATATGTGTAGTAGGGATGAAGGGGTGTGTGTGTGTAGGGTACGAAGGGAGACGTCTGACAAGGATAGTATGACCGTTAAGCTGATTGGAAAGCTGCTTGAGATGTGCTGGTTCTTTCAGTTGTCTAATGCTCACCACCATCCCCCTCTCCTCTCCATCTTTCTCTCTCTTTCTCTGTTTTAACTCTGATTTAGAACAAATGTGTCCGTTACTGGCCCGACCTCCACGGCACTAAGGAGTTTGGGATGGTGCTGTTAAGGAATGTGGACGAGCAGCCAGCACAAGACTACATCCTGAGGAAGTTGGAGGTGACCCGTCTGGACCGGGTATGGAAAGCTGTAGACTCAGTTAGAGCTGACCCACTGACCTGGGGTCAGATTATCTAACCCCTAACACACACACACACAAATCTTCTGCACGTGCTTGTGCTCACAGGAGTATTGACTGCATGAATCTCAAAAATTCAAGAGGCAGATAGAGAAAAGTATATAACCAAAGTGCACACAGCCATTATAGACTTGCAGTTTTCTTGCACTCAAGCCTAAAATAAAATATATATACAACTCACAGTTGTCCTTGACATGTAAATGTACAATAAGGAGAAAATTAAAAAATGCCAATCCTTTTTTATTGTCGCTCTAGTGAACACTGTCCAATTAATGCTTAGTAAAAGCAACAGCTTTTGCTTGATCACAGTAGTCAGTCAAGGTACTGTTAATCTGTGAAAGCAGGAGACTAAAGCGGACACAAGTACACACAAGTAAAGATTTTGTTTCATTGAAACAAAGCAAGGATAGAAGTTTATTTGATTTTGTTTTGTTTGTTTTTTTATTTGATTAGTGTCTATGGTTTATACTGTTTGCAGGTAGGTTCCTTGTTGCTATAATCCTGTACTGTATATTGGTCCTAACCTTTAGTTTCTCAGGATGACTTCACTGTAAGAAATTAGGGAAATAATCCACAATCATCATTTTCCACAAAGGCATATTCCAGCATTCAGGTCTAATTGTTAGTACTGGTTTACTTTCAGTTTTACTACAATGCCAGTTTCAGCAACAAAGCATACATGTGACTACCAAAGAGTATCCCTCCATCAAAGTACATCAATGAACAAGTCCCAGCCAACATGAAGAAGGAATTTTATACTGACTGTGACTTTGGAAAATTCCCACTGAAATGAACTAAATCAAACTGCTGCAACATGATATTAGCTTTGGCAAAACATTTGAAACCATGCATGAATTTAGGATTGTGAATTTGGCCCCCTATTTCTTATAGTGGGCTCATTCCTTTCACTGAATACTGTAGAGCCAGAATGGAGGGGAAGATGCATCAGAATATGTTATATGCGCAAAGTTAACATAATCAAATTTAAAAACAATTCATAATAAAAGCAAGTGTTAAGAGAAATCTTTAACAACCTCATCTCATCATGTTTTTTTTTTCCTGCAAACTTGTAGAAGGAGCCACCGAGATACATCTGGCACTACCAGTACCTCAGTTGGCCGGACCATGGGGTGCCCAATGAGCCTGGCGGTGTCCTCTGGTTCCTAGAGGAAGTCAACCGCACACAGAGTACCATTCCAGACACTGGACCCATTGTCGTCCACTGCAGGTACAACCAGAAGGGAAGGACACTGTTTTACAAAAGGAAGCTGTGGTTTGGCCATATATTCATTGTTGGTGGTCCAGGTAAAGGAAATATGCGAGGTGATCTGTTCATCAGCAGATATCAACATCAGCAATTACTAAAATCCCATCTTGTGTACAGTCCTCTGTGTACGAACACATGCACACACAGTGGGTGTTCATCTGAACCATAAGCCTGAAGGCAGAGAAGACCGTTACGGTGTGGTCATTAGTCTCTTTTGAGAGGCAGAGCAGAGTGTAACTAGACAATGCAATTTCTGGAGAAATTGCGGTGTGAATGCTGGCTGTTGAAGGCTGATGCTAAACTAGGCTGCTGGCTTGAATAATACTAATAAAATTTGAAATATGCTGGAAATCTGATCCTGTTCCAATGACTAAAATCACAAAGTAAGCAAAACCTGTGTGCGTGTGTGTGCCTGTATGTGTTAGTATTTGTCTTCCTATTTGTGTGTGGTATCCTGAGCCATACACAATTTAAAACAGGGGTGTGTGTGTGTGTGTGTGTGTGTGTGTGCATGCGCGCGCACACTTGTCGGCTTGGACACATGCATGTGTTTGTCCTATGCAGTATAGTTTAAAGGTCCATTATTGGATGGCGCTGTGTGTGTGTGTGTGTGTCACACTTTTCTACAGAAAGTGACTAATCTCATGAAAGACTTATTTCCATGTAAACAAGGATTGCATTTCAAAAGACCAACAATATACGCATTTAAAAACAACCACTGCAAGTCACTGGGAACTGATCAAACGCAAACATAGCTGTGAATATGTACTTTTGAAAATCCTCTAGCGCCACCTACAGGTAAAATAATCCATAATATTCCCCATACTTGCTGAGCAAACATGTCTATTGAGTTTTGCTCCAGTTGGTTAACATGCCCTGTTCAGGATTTCATCCGTCAATCTTTGGATCTGAAGGGCAAAACCTTAACCACTGTGTGGGTCACCACTTGCTTTTTCCTTTTTTGTTTTATTGTTCTCCATGTAGACTCAATTTCCCAGGAGATGGTAAAATTGTGGATACCTAAAAGTTTGCTTACCAAAACACATTTATGAAATTGGCCAATTGAGTGCGCTATACTTTTACTTGTAAGTTAAGCTGAGTTCTCTTGGAGATCTAACGGCATGTTATTGTGACACAATAACAAATTTAACTATTGCTGTTGCAAAGTGAAAACCTATTATTTATAACCTTAAACATCCATGAGAGTCTTCTCAACCCACACATGACAATAGAAATAACACATGAAAGTCTATGTAACTTCTTCCATAACTGACTGGATAAAATCAAATATGCTCTTATAGATATGTATGTCTTATTTTCCTCATGACATTGACGCTAAATTTCTTCACATGAAGTAACAACACGTTTGACTTCTCACTCTGTTGTCCCCACAGTGCAGGCATCGGCAGGACAGGCACCATTATCGTCATTGACATCCTGATTGACGTTATTAACCGCCAAGGTGGGAGACTTAAATATATAACTAACACTGGACATTTTTTGTCAAAGTCTTTGTATGGCATCTCTGCTAACTTTTGGATGTGTGTGTTCTAGGTCTCGATTGTGACATCGACATCCCTAAGACCATCCAGAGAGTACGGCAGCAGAGGTCGGGCATGGTGCAGACAGAGGCTCAGTATAAGTTCATATACATGGCTGTGAAGCAGTATATAGACACGGCTCAGAAGAGACTGGAGGAGGAGCAGGTACTCCACTACACAAGAAGTCAAAATTAAAGTGGCTTCCAAAGAAATTAAAACACATAACATGATGTTTTTTGACAAAGTAATTAAAGATTTAAAATATTTTTACAAGACGCTGTTGATCTTCGACTCTAAATTGAATCTGCCTCCTGTCATGTTGCCTCTTTGCAGAGAAGTAAGATGAAGGAGAGGGAATATTCCAATATCAAATACCCCCAGATGACCAACTCGAGGTCTAAACCCAACATGGCATCCTCACGCTCTTCTTCTGTGTAAGTATACATATACCTTGATGGTAGAATGGCAATCGATGTGTGTGAACACAGAACCATAGCAGAAAATAGATTTGTTTTGTCAGTAACTATTTTTCTCTGTGTTATTGAAGGATGACAAATGATTCGTCAAGTGTGTACGAGAACATAAACTTTAAGAGCCCCCAGACATCTTTCAGCAGTAACACCAGGAGGTAAAACCATCACTGTAGACCTCCACATCTCTGTCTGCGTCTCTGTAAGTACTTCATGAATTTCATTCTACCTAGTTTGCGTTTCACCTTGTGCTGCGGCAAAATCCTTCAGCCACTTAAACACAGAACACTTGAACTTGAACACCGCTGCCAGAGAACTTCCCCCTACCACATCCACTGTAATGCAGACCTTCTGCACCTGCAGTTTTTCTGAAGAGTGCGTCGCTGTTTTGTTTATCGCGTGAACATGCACAATGATGCATATGCATACTTAAAGGGTTACTAAGCGATTCTGCAGAGAGTTTGTTGATATTTGAGTTCACCTGCCAAACAAACACACCCCTCCTTTCACTGCTCCTTCAGAAGCTCCGCCATGGCAACCAGTCTTATACTGCTGAAATATGGCAGACTCCACAATCTGATGGCCGAGAGTACGTTAGCCTCATAATAAGGCTTGGTGGGGGGGCAGCACTTTATGTGACAACTAGTCTGTCAATGTTTACATATATATTGAAGCAAAATATGTTTCTAAGTCTAAGCCACAGAGTCTTGTATCAGTTGGATCATTCAGAATAACTTCAACAGTTATAATTGGTGAACAAACACCATCAAACGCAGGACATGTGAGCACACAAACACAGCATCCAAAATTATTTGAAATAGTTTTTACAAAACATACAGTGGAGAGTGTATTTAAACACGGCCGAAGTGACTGCTAACTTTGGGGCTAACCTCCTCACTCTATTCAACAGTTGGCAAGCAACAGACAGGAGCTGCAGTCTTTATTCACCGGCCACTGTAACTTGTAACGTTACTGTACATTTACTGCTAAACAAGGCTTATTGCTGACCCGTCTCTTTCTTTTCACCGGGGCACCCGTTCACACATACGCTCCGTTTATTCCTCCTCTACCACACAGACACTGACTGCTGCTGCTGCAAAGCTAACACAGCTAACCAGCTAGGATCATCACAAACATGACAAAAGACGGACAAAACAGTAATACTGACCTGTTGCTTATGTGGAACAGCAAAGCTCACCTGTCCAGCAGAAACAGAGCAACCTCTGCGTCGGTTTTTGTTCCTTTCAAATCTCGGAGATTTATTCAGCATTGAAACCTCTCACAGATGTTAACACAGGTCATCCCCTCACCTGGTAACATGTGCGTGTGTGTATGCCCAGAGGCAGGCAGGTTAGAACCCAAGCTTCCAGGGCACCCCGCAGTACCCACAGAGCATGTAGGACCCAGGCCACCGCCATAGGGGGGAACGAGAGGGGCAACAGCCCTCAGGCCAGCCAGAGGACACCCCAAGAGCCGGCAGAACCAGTGGCACCCGGGCACCAACCCAAGGCCCGCCCAGCCCCCGAAAGAGGGAGCAGTGCATAGATTCACTCAGCACCTCTGCGCGCTCTCTCTCGCTCTCTCTCACACAAATGCAAACAGAGCCGTGTGTTAGAAAGAAAAACTAATGCATTCAAGTGAACTCTGAGAAGTTATCTATCTGTTTTCTTAACACAACGCTGTCAGTGTCGGAGACCCACCTTCAAATAAGTTATAAGCAAGCATGTGAGGAGCCTAGCTAATAAGGATATGTTAACGTTAGAATACAGCTGGGTTGTCGAGGTAAGCACGCTGTACATAGCTGCTATCAATTGCACCCGCCTCCTCCACAGTTGCGTCACAGTTGCACGGTAATTCTGTAGGAAACAGAATTACCCCCTCCCCCAACAGGCAGGCCTGTATATTCTATGGAGAGTTTTATACTGTATGAGTTGTAGATTGGGATTTAATTTATATTTTTGCCCAGAAGTTTTGGTCTGGACTAATGGACAGATCTGTCTCCCACTTTAAGAATGGGAGAGAAACTGAACTATCTGTTTTTGACAGTAATATGTTGTTTTTTTGTTTGTTTGTTTTTTGGATAATTGTTTTGGGGCGAGAATTTAAGTTTTTTTATCATTGGAGGTAGATTTAAGTCCAATTTATTATACTTAAATCTCGCCCAAATTATGGATTTAAGCTGTTGATATTCAAGAAATGACTTATTGCTAATTTTATAATGTGCCACTATCCTGGAATGGAATAAAGTTACAGTCCTGGATGACATACTCTAAATGTCTTATTCCATTATTGTACCACAATGGGGATTTTAGTGTTTTCTTATTTTTGAAGGATGTTAGGATTGTTTCAGATTGGGGTAAGTCTGCAAGGGATAGATGATATTTTGAGAAATTCCCATCAGGCTGTCAGGGAAGTGCTTATGTTAATGCTTTTAAAGCAAGTATGATGTTTAACACTGGAGCTGATGAATGGCATATCGGAAATTTGAATTTCCTTACAGAATATTTGTTCTATGTCCATCCATGAGTGGATTATTTTTAACTGCAAATGAAGTCAAATTTTACTGCTTTTTAAGGAAAATTTACTCAGCATTCAGCATTTTTCTGGCTGTTCTCTGCGCAATCTCCATTGTACACCACAACAGATAAATCGTCCGAACCTGTGTTAGCTTAAAGCAGAGTCATCAGTCAGCAGTTTGCTGGCCATGAAGTAACAAGAAATTGCAGCCCAGAAATTTCAAAGATATGTATATCTGACAAATTGCACATTAAAATATAGATGCACTTTAAATCTGACATGCAAATGTATTATAAAGAAAATTAAGGTTGTTGAATTTCTGACTGATTGAAAACACTACCACTCATTGAACTATGATTTAAAATCCCTGTCTGGCAATTTGAGTATATGTTAATATACTATATGGAAATGCTGCTTTTAGCTCCACATCATGAATTAGATCTGATTTTAGTGTTCTTGATTTAAAGTGACACCAGCCATTAACTCCACTTCTGCCTTGTCTGTTTGTGTTTGCTTCAGTTTCAGCTGAGGTGTCACTTCGTCAGTGCCTGAAAATCCCTTGTGGCAGGGGGGAGTGTGCTCTGACTACACCCCACATCTGTGGACCCTGCCTGGGTTGAAGGTGGCAATCTGACCTCTCTCCTGCTGCCGTCCTTCTGGACCTCTCTGTCTGGAGTCAAACCATACCCTCCACGGAGAGGAGGACTCTACAGCATAGTGCTCTCACTCAGGGCCCTTCTCCTCCCCCATTTCTCCCCCCACTGCTCCAGCCTCTCCCTCTCTTAGAAGCGCAAGTGCCTTGTCACAGGATGTGTCTGTGATTTTGCATCCCTAAAGCATTACATCAACAACATTAAATACTGTTACATTACTGTCACTATTTTCTAAACCCTGGAAACCCAAGTTGACGTGAGAAACGAGCAGGTTTTTTTTTTTCTTGGGGTGAAAGACTTTAGTCTGCCCCAGGGTGAACTGAACACAACCGTATGGGACCCAAGAAGAGGTCAAAGCTAACCTGTTGGCCAGAAGTCACTCTATTCACTATCCCTCTTTCTCTGCCTTTGCTAGTTGTCATTTGAACTCAAATCTAAGACTGTTTTTGTGGTGTTCTGTCTCTCCAGCTGTGGTGGTTATTAATGTGGCTGCTGAGTGATTGCAAGGGCAGTTACATAACTTTCTACAGGAACCAGAGGCACAGGGAGGGCAACCAAGGTTGTTAGTTTTTTTTTAATATCGGCGAGAGGAATCTAAAAGTTCTTTGTTTTCTTGAAGATATTTGTGTGTGTGTGTGTGTGTTGTGTGACCGGTGAGTGTAGTAGTACGTAATTGTCCACATTTGACAGGAAAGGAGTAGAGAGAATTCCTGAATAGGTGGTTGGAGTTCAGCTTGGCTGACAGCCGTCTCTCAGCTTTGTTTGACTGGCTGTACTCGTTAATCAGCAGGTCTGATGCAGTTCAACATCTGTCGTCGCAGATCGTCACAAGGAGACGAGGGAAAGGGGGCGATTACAGTGGGCCAGATGGCCATCTGCCTGAGATTGAAGAATAGATTTGCCTCCAAAAAGTAATTTAGAAGATGGCCATAATCCAGGCTTGATGATAGTGAGGCGAGTAAGCCAGTGTCATTGATGTGATAAGAAAGACGGTGGTGCTGCGGAGCAATGAGCCCTCTATGATGTCTGGCAGATTGTTTCACTATTTTTAGCCTCCAGGATCAGCACCAAAATATCCTACTCAAATACAAGACCAGATATACTGGTGAAATCTGACCTAGCATGTTTGGAATGTAATGACTTAGTGGTCTTGAAGACCTTAAAAAATTATAATTGTATAAAAATTTAAAGCATCAAAATAAACCGTGAATGAGCAGCACTTGTTGGTGGTGTTAATGCTCTGACCATTCCTCTTTCTCCACCAACCGAAATTTTCAACTAACCAGGTCAAGGACACTAACAGGCTAGACTCACCTTGTTTTCTTCAGTAATAAATTGACGAGTTTCTGCAGCTGCAGCTTGTGATTCTTAAGAAACAGGATTTAAAATACAGCAAATTGTAATCAAAATGTACTGCAGTAATAGTACTCCTTTCCTATGGGGGATGCAGGGGGGCTGGAGCCAATCCCAGCTGATACTGAGTATAGTTAATGGATGGATGGTAATAGTACTCATTGCACTGAAAAAAACTGTAATTCGATACTGTTGACCTTGTGGGGGATATTCAAATAAAGTAACAGGGTAACCTGGAACAGCCATATCATTGTCTGACAACAGAGTTCAATCTTTTAAAGACGGCTAACAAGAGCACAGAGTCTCGGTAAGTTTTGAAACTTTGTCTGTGTAGTTATTTCAGTCACTTGTCTGTCAGTGTGGAGATTTTTCCTGGTATAAATTTGCCAATACATTTTAATGGTTGACTCTTTATGTGAATAAAAGCTATGTTTTATGATATGAGTGGCATTGATGCCCTGTGTCAGTGAAGGCCTATGTCTGTTATATTTGACCCACTTGATGTACTTCAGTTGAATTCAAACAATCAAACGGGTTTGAATCCCTTTGGTTTTTCCTTTTGGTCTTTCACTATATGAACTTTGATCTTTGTCTGATGAATGAGAAATTACTTTTGGGGTTTTGCTTCTGTGTTTCTGAACTATCTTGCGCTGTGGAAAAATTAGTTTTTGGTGTATTTCACTTTGCCTCTTATGGGTATTTTTTATGATATGGTCAAACATCAATACTTGAAAGTGTGAAACTGCTGAATCTTTGGCCTCAGGCTTTGTGTGGATGTCCACTGGCTGTGGAAGTATTTTTGGTAGTGCACTAGATTTTGCCATCAGTGTTGTTTTTTTCTTGTTTTGTTTTTTGTTGTTTCATTTTGCTGATATGTTTAAATTGTATTTCAAATTGACTGTTTTATCCATTCTTGTATTTTGTATTGTGTCTGAATTATTATTATTAATGTTATTATTATTGGTGTAATTTCACCATCGAAACTAAGTAAATTCTTTCTCTGAGTTGAACCAGTGTACATTGAGGTATGCAGTAGTAACACAGTATTTTCTGCTTTTCTGCTTGTCCTCTTACATTTACTTGAACATGATGTTGATGTCTTTTTGTTTTGATTCCTTGTTCCTCTGTTGGTCACAGTACGCCTGAAGTGAGTAGAGGTATACTGAATGCTCCCATGCTGTCCGTTTGAGGCTCTTCCCCTTCCCTTTCCTCCTGTTGCACTGGCTGTGCCCAGACGCCTTTTTGCTGTACAGGCTACAACTGTTGATGCAGTGAGCTGCCCGAGACGGCATTAAAATGGTTTATTATCAAATAGTTCAATAAAATCTATGATGGCACTATTTAAAGTTACACATGATTTTTTCTTTTTTCTGTTGTTTTTGCTTGTGAACCTGGAACAGTTTTTCTACTGGGGGAAAGAGAATCTCTTCAGTGCCAGTTTTGGAAAAGGTTCCTGAAAACAGTGCCCTAAAGTGAAAGAAAGACAAGTGTGTTGTGAACCAGTGTGTTCGACCCATAGACTGTATATAAAAAGGTTAGACCCTGCTGTGGCTCTCCATCTTTCCACTGCACAGTACCAGCTCGACTCGCCTCGCTTTTGTTTGGTTTTCCATTGTGGAAACTTCCTTGTTGTGTACACAAACACACTGCATTTTTAACACCATTGTGTTTATAAAGTTGTCACAGCTGATTGGTAGTGGTAGGGGTGGTGCAGTGGATAAGACACATGCCTTGGGTGTGAGAGACCCGGGTTTGAATCCACTGTAAGACACCGCAGCAAGACACTTAACACCTAGGTGCTCCAGAGGCGTGCGTCAGCTAAAGGAATTAATGTCTAAAATGATTGGGTAACACCTGTGACACGCCCACCAAACAGAAGAAAACACACCTCGAAGCCCGTTGCTGAATGTTGCACAAAGTTGCAAGGAAACAAGTAGTTCAATCCGAAAATGTTGCAAATGTTGTTCTGACAATATCTTGTCGAAAAATGCGCAAATCGATAGCCGAGTCTATCAAGTCGCTCTGCCATATCAAAAAATGCTACCTTATGTGTTATCTTTTCCAATCCCATAAAGTTGTAACTCTCACAGTATTATGACATCTTCTGTTTTTTGATTATACACTGCTCAAAAAAATAAAGGGAACACTTAAACAACACAATGTAACTCCAAGTCAGTCACACTCCTGTGAAATCAAACTGTCCACTTAGGAAGCAACACTGATTGACAATCAATTTCACATGCTGTTGTGCAAATGGAACAGGTGGAAATTATAGGCAATTAGCAAGACACCCCCAATAAAGGAGTGGTTCTGCAGGTGGTGACCACAGACCACTTCTCAGTTCCTATGCTTCCTGGCTGATGTTTTGGTCACTTTTGAATGCTGGCGGTGCTTTCACTCTAGTGGTAGCATGAGACTACAACCCACACAAGTGGCTCAGGTAGTGCAGCTCATCCAGGATGGCACATCAATGCGAGCTGTGGCAAGAAGGTTTGCTGTGTCTGTCAGCGTAGTGTCCAGAGCATGGAGGCGCTACCAGGAGACAGGCCAGTACATCAGGAGACGTGGAGGAGACCTCCAGCAGGCCACAAATGTGCATGTGTCTGCTCAAACGGTCAGAAACAGACTCCATGAGGGTGGTATGAGGGCCCGACGTCCACAGGTGGGGGTTGTGCTTACAGCCCAACACCGTGCAGGACGTTTGGCATTTGCCAGAGAACACCAAGAATGGCAAATTCACCACTGGCGCCCTGTGCTCTTCACAGATGAAAGCAGGTTCACACTGAGCACATGTGACAGACGTGACAGAGTCTGGAGACGCCGTGGAGAACGTTCTGCTGCCTGCAACATTTGATGTACTGTCCTTGTTTTAAGGACATTACTTCAAAGTTGGATCGGCCTGTAGTGTGGTTTTCCACTTTTGATTTTGAGTGTGACTCCAAATCCAGACCTCCATGGGTTGATACATTTGATTTCCATTGATAATTTTTGTGATTTTGTTGTCAGCACATTCAACTATGTAAAGAAAGGAGTATTTAATGAGATTATGTCATTCATTCAGATCTAGGATGTGTTATTTTAGTGTTCCCTTTATTTTTTTGAGCAGTGTATTATAACATCATTTCAGGGGTAGCGTATTCTGAGACAAATATCCTCTATCAAATAATGCTCCCACTACAGAATCATTTCATATTGCACCACTACTCACTCCATGTGTAATGTACAGAGATGGGACGCATGTTGAAATACTATATTATGCCATCTTTATTTAAGATATCAGGGATGGCGTATTCTGATATGCACAGAACTGCTAAGTAGCACATCTCGATAGGTAGCATAAATCGACAGAACACCTGTGCAAAACCTTTTGAGATTTGACTCGCCCCTGATCTCGCGGCATTTGTCGTCTTCATGTTGAGTTTGTGTCTGGGTTGATGGCGCTGTTTTTTAAAGTCAGCTGCATTCATCTCAAACGCACCTGTTGTGTCTTGTGTTGGAAAAGTGCTCTACTGCGTGAACTACATGATACAGAGAATATTGCTCTATGAACAGAAGATAACTAATTAATATCAAAAAGCAAGCCAGGAAATGCATTCCTGAAAAACACGAATTTCAGCAGTGAGCTTTAAATTAGTGCTTATTTTTAAGCATTTTAACACATGAGCTACATGAAGTGTTGAAGAAAACATAACACATGGTGTTAGGCTTTTTTTTGTGTGTGTAGCTAAATGCCCTAGAGCAAATTACACCAACTGTCAAAAGCTAAAGAAATTGTACATATAATCATTATTTTCTTCTTTTTTATATGCCTTTATTCATTTAGGGGGAAAATCCAGTCTTTTTCAAGCCTTGACTGAGTATTTTTTCGTATTATTTCTGCAGGTTCCTTAGCCATGTTTACTGGCAGTTGAAATGCTGCTTGAGGAAGTTGCACTTTTATTATGGCCACTCCTAAATGAATGTTAGAATTTAACATAACCGTCTTATCAACCATGTGTCACAAGTGAGCTACTTGGAAAACCCCACAGCCTAACTTGTCCTTTATCTGACTCACCTAATCCAGGAATAAATGACGCAAACTTCTTGTCAAGACGAAGTAGGGCTTTACTTTTATAGTCATGTGTTTAAGGTTCAGATAGGGAGGAAATGACAAACAGCGGTCAGTGAATGGGTCGACTGTTTCGCAACATGACCCTGAAACTAATACTTCTTTTTAATTTGCATTCAAGAACGTCAGAAGCTGTGTTGTTTAAGGAGAATTTACTACACCTGCTGTTCAAACAGATTAAACCACCAACTGACAATGTTGTAAATTTAGTTTTTAAGACGTAGAGAAAATGCATGAAAATGCTAAACTGCAATTAACTGATGTCAATCTTAATAATGAGGCTGTCATACACAAGTGTTATCTGAGTTAATACCTCACTATTTTAATATAGTTTTGTAAACAAGGACATATCAAAACACACAAATCGAATGGACAATATATAAAGTTTGAATCTTAATTGGCACATTGAGATTACATTCATTTTCTTTTGTGGCAGACCTTTCATTGTTACTATTAACTTGACTTTTTGTTGTTCTTTACCCAACCAGATATTTGCAAAACAAGGTTCACATTTCATTAATAAATGTAAGCATTTTAAATGTCACAGTTTGGCTTCGCTGAATGTTGAGAAGACACTAACAACAAATCAACCCACTCATGTCCTTTGTTATCTGATGTCCCGAGTGTCCAAATATGACAAGAAATTCCATCAAAGCAGTTTTACTAAAAACTCTCTAATTTCAAACCACAGTGAAGTGTCAAATTGATTTTGGTGAATGTTTCTGTTTCACATGATTTGAAGGAGTCATTATTTTTTTCCAGTCTTTACAAGCTTGAATGAACAGTTTAGTAATGTACTATTGCTTATGTATAGCTGTTAAAAATGATAAGTTACAGCTGTGTGGAGATAAAGTTGCTATGTGTAGACTTTAACTGTGATTATAATTAAAAAATTCAAGTAATTCAAATTAGTCTGATGATAAATGAAACAAATAACACAAAATACTTCAAAAAAATTTGTGCAGTCTGTGCTACTTTCAGTCTACTTTCATCTGTCTCCTGGTGCGGTCTGCATAGTGTCCCAACCGCCACTGGGAGGCAGTCATCTAAAAAGCCTAAAAACACATGTGGTTCAGTTGTAAATAAAAAATCTGAGGTTTTAAAAGTTGTTTAGCAATAACAATGTGCGCACTAATGTGCAAAAAGTTACAATATCAAACATTTAAGATAGTCATGTAATGTATCATTTACAATATTATGTACGTTGCAGTCAGCTGAAAGTGGTGGGAGTAGTTGTAGTTGTAGTGGAAGTGGGGTGGATGGGTTCTCGCATACAGCGCATGTTCCCAGTGCTGAATACACACTGCAGTGGCCACAACACAACAACAATAAGCAGCACGATGAGCACGATGAAGAGCACCATTCTCTTCCAGTCCGCCAGCCGGTCAAGCAGACCAAAAGTGCGGGTCCGCGTCAGGATTGGTGTGTCCGCAGTCTTGCTGGCCCCAATGTCAATACAGATGCAGAAGGCTGTGGGACTGTCAGGGGCACCCAAGCCGGCGTTGTGACTGGAGCTTTTGTAGCACAGCTTCTCCCCCTCCAACCACACTGGTTCCTCCTGCTGCTGGTGGCTGGGCAGCTTGCAGAGAACCTCGCGGCTGGTGGTCAGAGCCGGGGGTCCCTCTTCGGGCAGCGTGGTGGGGTGACGGCAGAAGGGGCAAGAGAGGCGAGTGCTGCTGCCGTTACCATCTTGGTCATCCAGTGAGACTGCCATGAGGCGGGAGAGGCACTCTAGGCAGAAGGTGTGGGTGCACTCCAGCATCTTGGGTGTTTTGAAGACATTGTCGTAGGTATTGTAGCAGATGGAGCACTCTGGCTGGTTCATGGCTGATACCTTCTTTTGCAGCTCTCCAGCAGTGTCCTGGGGGGCAATGTGCCAAATCTGCGGAGACTGTTCCATCTTCAGAAATACAAGCCTTCCCTTTCTTTTTTGTCTTTTGGACTCTCCCACCGTGTCTTTCCTCTTCTTGGTCTGTCCTTAACTTCTTAATTATCCTAAAAGAGAGTTAATGAAAATTAGAGATTTGTTTTTTTTATATTTCACATGGTATTTTGCTGTTTGTATCATGACAACTGTGCAATGAAGTGCAAGCCATTTTTTCAGTCATGTATAACCATAATCCCAACAGGATTCAGGATCCGTGCTCTTTTTACTCAGCCCAGTTGAATGTTGATCACACAAACTTGAACTTACAAAGCTGATAGGATTTTGGTATGTCAATGAACAATTCAATCACAGGGG